ACAGCAGAGGGCCCCTCCCACCAGCCGGCAGGGGTGGGGCTAGGGAGTTTTGGTCACCCCCCATGAGGGGTATAATGGCCACCAGGGGGACCAGCTCTGCGCACTGAGTGCCACTATGGATTATTCTCTATATAGCAAAGAGAAAAACAAGACTCCGCACATCGAACTTATTGACTGTCCTAGATGAAACCTCCAGTGTTCTTTCAAACCATTGATGTTCCAACTAAGAAGTCTGTCCTAATTCATCTACTTCATATACGTCAATTGCATAATCATATATTGCACCCTCGATACATATGGCACTGATGAACCTGCTGTCTGTGTGTAACAGACTTCCTAAAACCTCTGTCAGTCTGAACTGAAGAATGCTCACTTTTTCCAGTGCCTGTCGATTTATTTTACAACTTGCGTTCATTATGATCGACACTGAGAGCTCAGCTCCCGGCTCCCGAGTCGGCAATCTTGCATGCCTATAAAATCAGACTGGGAGCTGTGTGAGGACCATGGCACGCCTGAACCTCACCGAACACAGCATCTTCACACATAGGTCTGTCACTGTCAGTTCTGCCATCATCCGAGCGTGCGTGATAGCTAAGTGTATCGCTGTGGATGGTCGCCATACCACGAGGAGCCAGTCATTGCCCATTCTATGGTACAGAGCGCGATGACGACACCCACACCACTTGTACACACTGCCCTACACACTGCTACACACTGCCCTATAGTGAACTGACTACAACCACTGCTACACACTACCTCACACTGCTACACACTGCCTTAGACTACTTTAACACCTACTGCTACACACTACACTATAGACTTACTCACACACTGCCGTATAAGACTACTACACACTGCTACAACACAGCTATAGACACTACCTACACCTACTGCACTCCACACTCTTATAGACCTAACACTGCTCTTATATATTGCCTAAGACTACTACACCACTGCTACATTGAACTCACACCACGCCTACACACTGCTATGAGCACATACTACCACACTGGCTACACACTACCTCATAGACTACTACACCCACTGCTATAGAGCTACTAACACCAACTACTACACACGGCTATAGACCTATCTACAACAATGCATAACACACTGCTATAGACTTACATACCACACTGCTACTAAGCACTACTACCACCACTGCCTACCACACTTGCTATAAGACTACTACACACTGTTACACACTGCTATAGACTACTACACACATGCCTACTAGACTACTACCAACACTGTACCACACTGCTATAGACCTTCACTACACACTGTACACCACTCTATAGACTAAACTACACACTGCTCTATAGACTACTACCACACCTGCTACACACATGCTATAGACTACTACACACTGTACACAACTGCTACTAGAACTACTACACACGTGCCATACACACTTGTCTATTAGACTACTCACACACTGCACACACCTAGACTTATAAGGACCTTATACATACACACTGCTATAAGCACTCACATACACAACTGCTACACACTTCTACACACTGCTGATTAGCACTACTTTACACCCACTGCCCTACATAGACTATTACACACTGCTACACACTGCCCGTAATACGGACTACTCAGCGAGCGGTGTGACACCACCTGCTATAGATACTACTACACAAACTGCCTACATCAGACTACTATCACAACACTGACTAGCGAGCGAGCGTGCTATCAGACTACTACATTAATTACACACTGCTATAGACATACTAACACACTCGACTACACCAGATTTGCCTATAGAAATTTCTACCTACACTACTAGCTTACACACCTATCTATATTAGACTAGCTACAACTCTATAGACTCACACATCACTGCTTTACACACATGCTACATCGCTACTAGAACTCACTACACACTGCTACTAGACACTACACTATGACTACACACTTGCCTAGGGTAGGGACTTACTACACACTGCCTACACACTGCTATATTACTCTACACACTGCTAGATGAAGACTACTACACACTGCTTTGCTACCAACACTGCTTATATAAGACTGACTACACCACTGCTACACGACTGACCCTATAGCAACTACTACACACTGCGCTACACACTACTATAGACTTACTACAAACACTTCACTAGACTGATCTACCACCACTACCTACCACAACTGCTATAGACTAACTACACACTGCTCCCACGGGAGCTACGCTATAGATACTACACACTGCTATAGACTACTACACACTGACACACTGCCTATAGGACTACTACTCACACCTCTATAGTACTACATACCACACTAGCTCACACACCTGCTTATAGACTACTACACACTGCCCTACAACACTACTACACACTCTACACACTACTACACACTTACTACACACTGCCTATAGTGACGTATCTTCACACACTGGCTACACACTGCCTATAGACTACTTACACATCTTGCCACATCACTACTCATTACACTCTCACACACTGCTATCGACTAACTCTCAACAACGGCTACCACTACTGCTATAGATTACTACACCACCCTGCTATAGACTACTACACTACATACTACACCTACGTGCCTATTAGACTAACTACACACTGCTTATATTGACATCTACTACATCACTGCATACACACTGCCTACCACACACCACATCTGCATACGACTTATACTATCACACTTGCTTATAGAATACTACACATCTGCTATAGAAGCGTGTGAGCTGAGCTACTCACTACTACACCACTTATACACACTGCTACACAATTACTTACACACTACTAACCACATTGCTATAGGAGCGTACTTCACACTGCTCTTATCACACTGCTTTATAGTCACTCATACTCTCACTCCATCACTGCCTACACATCTACTACTTACACTCTACATCAGCTTGCTTATATGGTGAGACTACTACACTCCACTGCTACACAACTTGCTACTAGACTACCTACACACTGCCTACTAGACCTTACTACACATGCCTATAGACTTACTACAAACTGCTATCAGATCTACTACACACTTGCTACACACTGCCGTATAGACTACTACACACTGCTTACACATCTACTACTGAGAACTAGCTACATCACTGCTATAGACTACTAACACTGCTACACACTCGCTACAATACTACATACTCACTATACCGGACTATACACACCCTGCACACACTATTACACACCTGCTATCACACTATTCTACACACAAGATACTATAGACTACATACACACTGCCTACCACACTACTACACACTACTAATATACTACTACCACCACTGCCACACCACTACTACACACTGCTACACACTACTACATACTACTATAGACTACTAACACCACTACTACACACTACTACACACTACTAAAACACTGCCTACACACTGCTACACACTACTAAACACTGCCCACACACTGCTGCTTGTTGTCTGCGTCATTGTTAACATACTGTTCGATGATCATATAATTTCATTCCACCAACTGTTTATAAACTCATAAAATCACCTTTACTGCCTTGATGATGTGTAGATCTGTATTATGTTTGCTCTAACAAAGTATTCGTGATTCTGTGTGACAATGAAGCAGCTGAATCATACTCAAAAACTAAATATAGTGATGGCATTATTTGCTAACTTATATATAGACAACAGTGTGTCCCTCATCACCAGACAGTGTGTGAGCATTAAACAAAGTATCACTAAAAACTCATAAACTAAATACATCATTCACAATCTGTCAATCAACCTTTACATGGTGGATCTGTTACACATGCACATACTGCAATATGTCATGGTTTTCAATGTGTCTTGAAAATAGAAATTAAAAAATAATAAAATAAATGTGACACCTGATGCTGGTTCTTACTTCTCGTGGCTGCAGCTCTGCTCTCGTCTCTGACTTGACTGAACTTCAGTTTCACTGAGTCACTTCTTCATTAAGCCGAGTTGTGGGTGTAGAGAAATCCACAGGTCATGGGTTGTTTCAGTGTCTGATGAATACATGGAGAAGCACTGAGGCTCAGGTGAACTGTTGTGTAACCTTGTCTCACCTGCACAGCTACAGAGAACCTGTGTCTCCAGAGCCTGTTGATGTGTGGAGGAGATGAAACCTTCAGTCTGCCAGCAGGAACTGGTAACATGAAGAACGTTGATCAGTTCCATGCAGAGAAGCCAGACTCAAAGGGTTCAGTCAGAATCTGATTGAAACCCCCCATCAGGTCCATACAGTCCGACTGTGTTTTCCAGCTGAGCTCAGAACTCAGACTGCAAGGGTGCAGAGCCTTTAAGATCAGGTGTGGATTCAGTTCCTGCTCTTGATTGGACAAATCTGTGTGTGAATGTGTAGAATCTGTCTCACACTGTAGAAACCACCGTGTGTCTGGTTCTTGTGTTCTGACTCATTCACGTGACAAATTCAGGGGAAAAACACAATTTGTAATAAAGAAAAGCAAAAATTTTCCTACTTGCAAATTTAAAATCTGTTACTTAATGATCTAATAATCATGAGACAGTGGTTTTTTAAGAATCCTTCAGATGCAAGTTTTGATAAGTAATTAATCATTTGATTGATTAGAAGTTCTCTCAGAGGTTTCATCTGTTTAGGATTGTTTTGTAAAAAAAGAAAAAAATCTGAATTTCTTGTGACTGTGACATTATGACTAAATGATCAACAACAATATCGATCATCATCAGTTGCTTAAAATAACTGTTTGATGCTAATAATAATAATAATAGGTCTGCTGATAATAATAATAATAATAATAATAATAATAATAAAAATAATAATAATAATAATAATAATAATAATAATAATAATAATATTAATACTACTAATAATAAGTCGACTATTGGATGGATGGTCTGTATCAGCTGAACTCGGGATGAACTTGCTACGTACTCTGTCTGCCTCGATCAGATGACGTCAGAGCCGGACGCTCCTTATTTGGCTACGCCCGGCGCTGTTATATGCTGAGAGCAGAGGTGGAGAGAGAAGAGAAACGAAAGGATTGAGCGCGAACACACGGAGAAAGACCCGTTAAACCAAGAAACCGGAGAACCGAGCTGAAGCTGGATTATATTAGAGACATGGAGACCATGAGACCTGCTGCCGTCTGTGTCCTCCTCCTGCTGTCCACTGTCTTAGGTGAGTCTCACTGTAAACACCGGGTCTCATGTTCTTTAATATACACAATCAGACATGTATGTAAATGAAAGAAAATACTTTTAACACACAGGATTAAATAATTTATTGTTGTTCTGTGAAGAAGAAAACGGTAAATGTAAAGTTATTAGTGCAGTAAAACAGTTTTCTGTACAGTCAGTTTGTATTTAGATGAAATATGTGTTTATTATTTTTGCTTTATAATAACAATAATAATAATAATGATAACAACAACAATAATAATAATAATGATAATAATAATAATAAAATAATAATAATATCATACAAGAAAGTGCTTTACAACAAAGAAATGAGCTGCACCAGGGGCTTCACATGAAAAGACCTGAACATGAAAAGCATTGATCTAAAATGAAAAACATTAAAATCAATGTAAAATTAGATAAAATAATCAATAAAATAAACCATAAAATAAGAAGACATTTAAAAGAAGTGCTGAGCAGAAATGTGGAGCAAAGTGAAAAGTTTCAGAGCGAGTTAAAGGCTGAAGTGAAGAAATACTTTATAGTGGCTTTATAGTTTTTATAAAGAGCTTTACAGAGTTTGAACCTGTGGTGCAGTGAAAGTGCTTAAGTCTGCAGATCAAACATGTTAAAGTCTGTGTTTGTAAGAAGAGGCTGATCTCACTGTAGAAATGTAATCCTCTGAACGTAGTGCAGACTGTGTGTAGGGGGTAAATGTCTGACTGTGTCCTCTGTGTGTTCGTACCATTTTAAATCAGACGAGCTGAATCACTTTAAATTCTCTCTCACAGCCTGAACTTGAAAGTGTGTCTGCCGTTATCTCTCGTGTTCAGTCGTCCTGCTGTTTAATGTCCATTTTCTGTTTGGTCTCATGGGAACTGTTGGAGATTATGTAACCTACACCGTGATAATGATCTGCTCTCAGTGCCAACAACAGTTTAAATCTGCAGAAGAAGTGACTGAGGTTTGAGCCTCAGAGTCAGTCAGCTGTTCTCTGTTCAGTTTGACTGAACAATCAGTCCATAAAATCTATGAGCGAGGATTTTAATGACCTGTGATAAGAGCAACGACTCTCAGGTCACGAGACGCTGTGAGCTTAGTAGGCTGATGAAGATGCGTCTGAACGTCTGTTTCTAACAGTCCAACATGAAGGGTTAATTATATGAAAGTGTTTTAATTATGTCTGTAATCACAGTGTTTTACATGATGTGTTTTATTTTGAAGGCTCCTTCCCTCAAGCTCAGCACGTCACCTGGAAATCCACCAACTTCAAAACCGTTCTGTCCTGGGAACCCAAACCGTCAGCTGACTACTCCTACACCGTGGAGTTCTCTGTGTAAGTACCTGCAGACCTCACCTGTGTCAGACCCTCACCTGTGCATTCGTCTCAGACAATCAGGTGGTTGGAGGAAGGATGAATGGTGCAGGGCGTGATAAGACGCCAGTATTGATCCAGTAAAAGGAAAAGTGAGCTCAGTGAGACAACAAGAGACAAACAGAGACAGGGACATGAAGCGTCCAACAAACACAGTTTAGAAAGGCCAGCAGCAAGATTTGTCCTGATGAAGTAAAATACTGTCTCACTGTCTGGTCTGTTTTTTGATTCTCTCCTCAGTCTTTGTCTCTCCAGTCTTCAGTCTCTGTCTCCTCAGTCTTTGTCTCCTCAGTCTCTGTCTCCTCAGTCTCTGTCTCCTCAGTCTCTGTCTCCTCAGTCTTTGTCTTCTCAGTCTCTGTCTCTTCAGTCTTTGTCTCCTCAGTCTTTGTCTCCTCAGTCTTTGTCTCTTCAGTCTTTGTCTCCTCAGTCTTTGTCTCCTCAGTCTCTGTTGCCTCAGTCTCTGTCTCTCCAGTCTTTGTCTCCTCAGTCTTTGTCTTCTCAGTCTCTGTCTCTCCAGTCTTTGTCTCCTCAGTCTTTGTCTCCTCAGTCTTTGTCTCCTCAGTCTCTGTCTCTTCAGTCTCTGTCTCTTCAGTCTTTGTCTCCTCAGTCTCTGTCTCCTCAGTCTCTGTCTCCTCAGTCTCTGTCTCCTCAGTCTTTGTCTCCTCAGTCTTTGTCTTCTCAGTCTCTGTCTCTCCAGTCTTCAGGCTCTGTCTCCTCAGTCTTTGTCTCTCCAGTCTTCAGTCTCTGTCTCCTCAGTCTTTGTCTCCTCAGTCTTTGTCTTCTCAGTCTCTGTCTCTTCAGTCTCTGTCTCCTCAGTCTCTGTCTCTTCAGTCTCTGTCTCCTCAGTCTCTGTCTCTTCAGTCTCTGTCTCCTCAGTCTCTGTCTCTTCAGTCTCTGTCTCCTCAGTCTCTGTCTCTTCAGTCTCTGTCTCCTCAGTCTCTGTCTCTTCAGTCTCTGTCTCCTCAGTCTCTGTCTCTTCAGTCTCTGTCTCCTCAGTCTCTGTCTCTTCAGTCTCTGTCTCCTCAGTCTCTGTCTCTTCAGTCTCTGTCTCCTCAGTCTCTGTCTCTTCAGTCTCTGTCTCCTCAGTCTCTGTCTCTTCAGTCTCTGTCTCCTCAGTCTCTGTCTCTTCAGTCTCTGTCTCCTCAGTCTCTGTCTCTTCAGTCTCTGTCTCCTCAGTCTCTGTCTCTTCAGTCTCTGTCTCCTCAGTCTCTGTCTCTTCAGTCTCTGTCTCCTCAGTCTCTGTCTCTTCAGTCTCTGTCTCCTCAGTCTCTGTCTCTTCAGTCTTTGTCTTCTCAGTCTCTGTCTCCTCAGTCATGTGGACGTTGTCAAACTGTTTCAGGGTTGGACGGGACAGACAGAGGAACCATCACTGTGTCCGCTCCTCAGCCACGGTGTGTGATCTGTCCAGCTCTCTGACCGACCTCAACGCCAACTACACAGCTGACGTCCTGTCTGAGCCGCCACTGGGGGTGACCTCCGACCTCATCGAGTTCCCCTACAGCACCTCTCCCCGATTCTGCCCCTACAAAGACAGTAGGTCCCTCTGCTACAGAGAGCTGTTTCTAGTCCAGCTTAGAGTTACAGTTTAACTAAGGTTAAGTGATTCCTTAAGTATAAGACTAAGATAAGGAGGAAATCTTAAATACTTAAGTGAATATTTTAAGGGAACCTTAACTCAGACTTTAAGGAAAGTTTTAGGTGAAGGTCTCTTTGTGCAGCTGGGCCCAGCTCCTCCTGCGGAGAACCAGCCTCAGTATTTACCTGTTGGACGTTATGACGGAGGTCGATCAGGTCTGCAGTGACTATAATAAACAACAGCGTCATGATGGAGCTACAGTCCGACCACCGACAGGTTCACGGTGTCAGACTGTTCTCCAGCTGTCAGCTGACGCATCACTTCATATTGAGTTATCATTCAGTTCATAATCGATAAATCTGCAGATAATTGTCATCAGATTAAAAACCGTTCAGGAAGCAGAAGCAGCAAAGTTTCACACTGAGAAAACTTAAACTACTGAATTTCTGTTAATCAACTAATTAATAATGTGATTAATCAACTAATAGCAGCAGCTCTATCTTAGATATTCTGGACACGCTGTTGGTTTGACTTTGTTGCAGTGATGTCACATGGTCGCATGGTCAGAGGTCTCTACACTTCCACATTAACTGTGTGTGTGTGTGTGTGTGTGTGCCCCTCCCCCACAGCTGATATAGGCAGACCTGACTTCAAGCTGGAGGTGAGCGAGGACAAAAAGAAAACCACGCTGTATGTGACCGACCCGCTCACCGCCCTCTTCAAAGATGGCCGCCAGCTGAGCATACGGGACGTGTTCTCAGAGCAGCTGCACTACAGAGTCACCTACCGCAGGAACAAGAGCACTGGCAAGGTGAGCCCCGCCTCTGTCAAGGTGTGAGAACCTAACACTCCTGAAGGAGACGTCATCACCTGAGTGTTCCTCTGTGTCGTCCGCAGAAATCTGCCGACTTCAAGACCAACATCATCGAGATGAGCGGTCTGGACCGGGGGGAGAGCTACTGCTTCAACGTCCAGGCCTTCATCCCCAGCCGCAGCTTCAACAAGCAGCTGGGCGAGCTGAGCCACACCCAGTGCTCCAAGGACGACCACCAGTCCATCTCAGATGGTGAGTCCACAGAGACCAGGACCAGGTCCAGGGTCAGAGGGTCAGGGTCAGGGTCAGGGTCAGAGAGTCAGGTCCAGGTCCAGGGTCAGAGAGTCAGGTCCAGGTCCAGGGTCAGAGAGTCAGGTCCAGGTCCAGGGTCAGAGAGTCAGGTCCAGGTCCAGGGTCAGAGAGTCAGGTAAGAAGTAAACAAACATATACCTGGAAGCAGGAAGTTCAGTCTGTTTCTACTGCTGCTGACACACAAACACTGAGGTGTGTGTGTGTGTGTATGTGTGTGTGTGTGTGTGTGTATGTGTGTGTGTTAGTGTGAAGTACCATCTCTGCGTAAATAAAATGGTCAGCTGGTTTGTTGTGTTGGTCTGTGATATGGAGAACAGGTCTCCTCCCAGACTCTGGGAGTCTGTCACATGACTCTGTTCAGTATATTGATCAGTGTATTGATCAGTATATACCGGTGTTAGATCATTTGTTGTATTAATTATAAATCAGCTGATGAAGTCGGACTCAGGTTGTTAGAGACCTACCTGTTAGAGACAGGAGAGATCACAGACTCTAACAGCTGATCAATGAGGCTGAGCTGATTAATATCACTCCGTTTATACTGATACAACATCTGTACAGATGCTGTGGACTCACAGTAACAGGACAAACAGCACAGATCATATGTCACATATAATTCAGTGATCATTGACTGTCCCCTGTCACACTCAGGCTGTCTGTCTACCCCCCTCTATGATCAGGTGTTCAGGTGATCAGGTGATCAGGTGATCAGGTGATCCAGCACACGGAAGGTTCATTAATCACAGAGCTGCTGATGATCTGTGATCAATACCTCAGTGTGAGTGACAGCAGGGAGTAGCAGAGGTCAGAGCAGCTGATGTCATGTGATGTAACAGGTTAGAGGATCCAGACTCCTCCCCCTCCCCTCAGTCTGAGAGTGTACAGAAACCCCACAGCGCCCCCTGCAGGCAGAGATCAGCAGCTCTGTGCAGAGTGACAGATCCCTGTGGGAACCTGCACGGATCAATCCTGATCATTAATCTGTGATCATTTGCTGAAGTCAAGTTCTGTAATGTTGTGTTGTTGTTGTGTTGTTGTTGTTTACAGTGTACTCAGTGGGTGTGATCGCTGTTGCCATCTTCCTCATCCTGCTGCTGATCGCCATCATCATTGCTGTCACTGTTGTCTGCTGCAAATGGCGCAAGAATGCTCAGACCACAGGGAAGGAGGGGTTGCCCCTGCGGGATGTATAGAGACAGACACACACACTGACACACACACACACACACTGATCACTGTGGTACAGCTGACTGCTTTGAGGTCAAACACTGGAATCTCTTCCTCTAGTTTCTATGAAACTGAACTGAATGTGTGAAAACTGCAGAAGAAGAGACTGTAGAGACACTGAACACACACACACACACACACACACACAAACACTGCTGAAGCTGTAACAAACACTACCAGCTGGTTTTATTTATTTATAGTTGTAGTGAACACTAACTTTCAGTGACTGTCACTAGGATCTTTGGGAGTCTGGTTAAGCATTATGGGAAAACTTTTTGGGAAATTGTAAATATTATTTTTGTATCTTATGTGTAATTTATTGTGCTTAATTGAAATTAACATATTTGTATATGAGGAGGTTCTTAGCAAATTATTATTATTATATGTTGAAAGAATAAATATTTTAAACAAGTTTGTTCTGTTCATCTTCATATTCAGCCTCAGCTGTGTCAATTACATGGATGGAGGGTCAGGGGCCAGAGGGTCGGGGGCTGGACCTGTGTACGAAGCTAATGTTTCTAATGCTGCGTCCATACGACTACGTTTTCATTTTAAAACAGCGTTTCAAACAAAAACCATCTCCATCCACACTGACACACCTGAAAACATGTCACATGACCATTCACTACACTGAGCATGTGCGAGCCGGTGTAAACAGGAAGTAGATTGTCTCCTCTGAAGGAGGAACAGCAGAGACAGTTGTAGCATTAAAACAGAGAATGTAAGTGAACAACAGCTGCTAGCAAAGACAACAAGGTCAGTGACACTGTCATTCATCATCATGTTGTATTCACCACTGGTAGTCCAGGCTGATGACAGCCAATCAGGAGAGACCATGGGTGTGACCTCATCGTTTACAAAGGTCTCAGTTTCTGTCCGCAAGATACAACACAACCACAGAGTTTTCAAAATAAAACCCAGGAGTTTTCAAAATAAAACACAACCCAGGAGCTTTCAGAATAAAACAGGCCCAGCAGCGTTTCTGAAAGTCTCTGTTTTAGAGGCTGAAAAGTCATGGAGTCGTGAGGACGTAGCCTTAGTGTTAGGAGACTGAGGGAGACTGACTGAGGGGCAGTGGATGTTAATGGAGGAGTCCAGTTGGAGATGAGGCTTGAATGCAGGCTGGAAGGTTTACAGGTGAGAGGGCGGAGGACTGGTGAGCAGTTAGCATGAGGAAAACAGCTACTTAAGAGTTAACAGTGGAGGAGAAACAGAGCAGAGATGTGCCCCCCCCCCCACCTGAACCCTCACAGACTTACCTGACGTCACCTGGTCAGTGACTGAGGGTGAGGCTGCAGGGCGAGGCATGGTATAGAGGGGAATGAAAGCGCATACTTTTATACTATTGTGGGTTTGTGAATTCTCACTCCACCTTTTAGTCCCTTCACTTCCTGTTTGTAAACAAAATAATAATGTTGGATCAGATCTGGATTTGGAATCAATCATCATGTGATCACAGACACCTTCACACAGTTCAGTCACATCTGTGATGTCCAGACTTTATTTTGTGAGCATCACTAATCCAACATTTATTTGAGTTTATTTCTCAGCAGCAACATTAAAGTCATTAAACACAGTAGTTACTACAGTTCTGTAGTATTTATATACGACCCTATTATTCACATTTACATGTTAATTAATCATTTATATTATACGAGGTATTAGAAACCTCCATCACAGGACGAGGTCTTCAGTGGTTCTGTGACACCAGGACCCAGAGTCCAGATCCAGACTCCTGCTGGATCAGGTTCTGGTTCTGGTTAAAGGTCTGTGAACACCTTGTGTCTTTGACCAAAGACTGAATGATTGATGATTGATGATTAATGATTTCTCATGTCACTGTTCAGTGTTTGGTGTAAAACCAGAGCTGGATTTCCCCCAGACCGAGTCCTGGAGTCACCACATGAGGGCGTTAAACTACAGGATCAGATACGTTCAAGATCAACAGCTTCATGATCTCACACGTTCATTAACAACATTTCTTCATGGTAGAGAAAATGAGAGGCCTGTTCAGGATCAGATGTGTCAGAGTGGAGTCACAGTCACAGAAGCAGCAGTGGTTCAGGTTCACCTTCAACATGTCCTGTGTCTCTGAGGTCATTGTGTCTCTGTCAGTGCAGCTGTCTCTGTCCTCTGGTGTCAAGGATTGGACAGACACGAGAAAAAAGTCACTAACGACCAAAGACAAGGCAGATAGCGTCAGAGCGGCAGCCATTTTGTTTTCATGTTGTCCGTCTGTCTCATTCTCGTGGACACGATATCTCAGGAACACCTTGATTGAACTTCATCTGGCACAGACGTTCACTTGGACTAAAGGAACTGAATAGATTTTGGGGGTCAAAGATCAAAGGTCAAAGGTCACGGTGACCACACAAAACGCAGTTTTGTCCTTGTGAACGCAATATCTCTGTAACACCTTGATGGAATTTCTTCCAATCTGGTAGAAATGTTCACCTGGACCCAAAGGTCAAAGGTCAAGGTCAGTTTGACCTCAGAAAACACCCATTACTCAAGACTTCACAGTAATTGTGACAAAGTTTCACAAAGATGTTTAATATTTAATATTTTCTCTGACTCTGGACAAACAGGAAGTGACCCTGCACTCATCTGAGTGGAGGACGAGATTCTAGTTTAATTATATAGAAAATGAACTTGTTCTTCGACACAGCTCTTAGTTTTCAGATGTGATCTGAACTCAAGAGTCCGATCAGCTGATCAGAGAATCATCTGAGTGATGTTCAGCCTGTAGCAAGTTGTATTCTCCACAGGTGAGCTCCTCTCTCCACCTGTTCTATCTGTGACTGCAGCGTCACACAGCGTCTCTGCTGACTGAGCGTCTTGGCAGCTCAGCCTGGTAAACACATTTCCCATCAGTCTGCAGGAAGCTCACTGTCATGTGACACTCAGTCACCTGGAAGTAAGCCACGCCTCCTGCCGTGTGATTGACAGGACTGGAGTAGAGCTGCCAGGACTGAGGGACACGGTCCCTGTGGGTGGAGGCCGGGTCGCTGACTGTCCCGCTGCCGCTGACCACATACGAGCTCCCATCATCCTCTCTGATGAACTGTGAGAGGGAACAGGCAGAATAAAGACGTGAGAGTCAGACAGGTGAGACACGACAGACTCACCTGTCTGAACGTTGTGAGCAACAATTGACTGACTGTTGTAACCCATGTTCAGCATCAACCACTGTGTTGCCTAGCAACGTAGCCTTTAACCTGTGTGTCTGTGGAGTTGATGTTAATTCATCTCCACCTGTTTAATTCTGCTGTTTGATTCATGCAGCTTCATAAAGTCTATAGATCTCTGCTGTGAGCACAGTGCAGGTCTCACCTGGGGACAGTGTGTATACATTAACAACCAATGTATACACACACATAAACACACACATAAACACACACAGTAACCTGGTGCCAACAGCCTTTAAGATACTTTAAATAGTTTGATCATATATTATTATTATCATCATAAAACATCATCACCTCCTCTAACATGCATTTTAACTGACTTTGTACATAAATAACTAGAGTGTGTTGACTGTCAAGTCTCTGCTGCTCACAGTGTGTGTGAATCAGTCTGTACAGAACCATGCAGCACATTAATGTACATATATATGTATATGTATATAACTGTAGAGGAACAAACACCTGGGAACATTCATGTGGTTCTTGACGTCATGTGACCAGTTAGTCAGTCAGTTCACCTGTTTCTGAACGAGCTGAAGATAAACTGTGTTTCAGTTGGTGTGAAGAAGCAGCTGAAGTCTGAGAGATGAAGAACATAAACTGTTCAAATATAAAACATTTAAAAATGTTTCCATGTGCCCTGACTGGACCTTTAATAAATGTCTCAGTAACTAGAACAGCTGGAGTTCGACTACAGTGTGAATGATGGATAGATGGACAGACATTGACTTCCATGTCACATGACTTTATGCCTGAACGTACCTGCAGGTTGTGGTCGTGGCCACTCAGGTAAACAGAGACTCTGTACTTCTTCAGCAGAGGCCTCAGTCTGTTGACCAGACAGGAAGTAGGTCCATGGTGGCCAATGGACCACACAGGATAGTGACCCCCCACCACCATGTAGTCTGACCTGGGACCAGTCACACAACAAGTCAGTGTGATCCACAGGGACCATGACACAGGTACTGACTGAGAAAGGTTTTCAACCTGTGACTCTAATAACACACAGTTTACTGCGGCTCAGAGAGGTGAAACTCAGAGTCCATCCGTAGAGAAACTAAAACATCTGTTAAATGACTGATGACACAAGAAAATACTGCTGTGTTTTCAAATTGTTATACACACACACACACACACACACACACACACACACACACACACACACACACACACATATACAGTGCATCCGGAAAGTATTCACACCCCTTCACTTTCCCCACATTTTGTTATGTTACAGCCTTATTCCAAAATGGATTAAATTCCTTTTTTTTTTCTCATCAATCTACACACAATACCCCATAATGACAAAGCGAAAAAGGTTTTTTAGAAATTCTTGCAAATTTATTAAAAATGAAAAACTGAAATATTGCATGT